TTTTGATGTTGGTATACACGCTTCCTGTACGCGATCTCGAACTACTATGTGAAAGAAGATTTAGGATTAATAGCACGGAAACCAAATAAACAAAGCGGATCTGATACAGACGTGAAGGCATTGATTGTGAAAGCAAGAGAAGCATTCCTAAAATTGAGGAACATATGAAACTCAAAACAACTGTCTATCAGCCAACATAAGTCTAAATTTTCCATAGAAACCTCAACACAGTTCTATTGTATGGAGCTGAGACTTAAAGAGCTACTATAACCATCACCAAAAATGTACAAATATTTATAAATAACTGTCAACGAAAAACAATCCAGATCCCTTGACCGAATACCATCAGCAACAACCTACTATAAAAGAGAACAAACCACCTTTCAGTTGAAGAAGAAATTAGGGAAAGACGCTGGATATCTATATTGTGATTAGGTCGTCTGTTTAATATACCTATTGGCCTTCAGGCAGTAAATGAACACAGGCACGTGATTTATCTGGATTTGCCAGTGCATGAAATCGTTACTATAGTACCAAATCTGTTATTGGTTATTTCACCATGACAGGTTGAATGGAATGACCAGTACTTACAGACCAACATAATCAAGATAAAATGTATAACTATCCACTGTTAGTAATACTATTCAACAAATCATGTGAATTCATAGTCACACAGTATGTAATAAAGTCTGAAACTGTTCATTATGTCCATAACTTAAATACGAACAAAAGTCTTCAGAAGGACGGTTACTATGCTAAGTCCGCATAGCTTATTTTGGGTTATAAACAAGCCAATTTATTCCTTCTTCTTGAGTAACATTTTTACCCCATCACCTATTCACTTATCAACCTTGACTGTTGTTATATGAGCGTATGTGTGTGGGTGTTCACTTCGTATCCTATTCATCACATGTCTGTAACTTATTTTTGTGTGACTATAATTAGTGATTAACGCTTGATTAAATCTTGGTGACTTACACGCCATCTCCACTGCGCGTTACTTTGCTTCGCTCTCACCTCCTTGCTTCGGTTCTCCGCTCGTTTGTCTGGATGAACGATTGGATAAAATATACGTATTTGAAATTCATTCTCGTTAGTGACTTATTTACTTCCGTTATTCATTAACATGAGTTAAGTCGATAATTTCATACGAGGATTGACGATATGTATATGTCAATAGCAATCTAGTTGGAGTCAGATTTAAAGCCACTAAAGTAGATTAGTTAACATTTCTGGAACAATAAACTTCTGAAGATTGTATGTGCGTGTGTTTTTAAATCGAGATAGGTCTTGATAATTAATCTAATAGAAATCTGTTCATTTAAGTACATATGTAAAGGTATGTTACTCAAAGAAATAAATTCTCTGAATGAAATCATTTAACTCTAGCAGTGACAAGATTTTGATAAGAAAGTGTTAAGAAAAGACTTTGGCGGATTGGTTGAGGTTAGACATTAACATCGTTGGATGCCGGCTCAGTGGTCTTCAGGTTAAGCGTTCACGAGCGAGGCCCTGGGTTCGAATGCCGCAGGCGGGATCGTGGATGCGCTCTGCTGAGGAGTCCCACAATAGGATGAAACAGCCGTCCAGTGCTTTCAGGTTCTCAATGGTGATCTAACATCAGTGGGCTGATGATCTCAACCAAACACTTATTATATTTTGTAGGTTTACACCATAGACTGATTTTAATTAGACAAACATTCAAAATCAGGAAATATTGAACAACTGTTTTGTTCTAGCATGGAACCTCATAGCAGCAGGTAACCCAAATCCATCAATGATTGGACCTAGAACTTCTAGGTGTAATGAAGAGTTAACTAATGTGTTATCATCCAATGGTTTATATTTATTAACTTCAGTTGATCCATGAGATGTTTCATCATCATCATCCATCAGATTTTAGTGATATGTATTTACATCAGAGGTGAATGAACTCCAATAATTATGGCCTCTTACTCAGACTCCAAGCGATGCCTGTCAACATCAGTCACTAGTAAAAATATAATGAGTGCTCAAGTCATGGTTATATTTCAATAGCAAACCAATAAGGTTTAATGTAATAGCTAGCGGATAATTGTATGAAGTTCTAAACCTGATGACGCGTAGCTCATATCAACAAAACCTAACAATAGTTAGTTACAAAAACATAGAAAATTGAAATAAACAGTAGAAGACTATGATTTATGAATTTTTATAGATAACCTTAACGTTCCTGATATTTAAAATCCAATATACAACTTGGTATCCTTCAATAAATCTGTATATTAATGGAAGTAGGTTGCGAAAAGTCGAAGTTTTATCAAGTCATTCAGTCAGTCAACAACGCACGTACGTAAATCAGTTCAAGTTACCATGTCATATTAGCGCAGAGATACAATTGTCGATTCAAATCCCATGGTGATAGAGCTAGTAAATGTATAAACAGTAATGGGAAAGATGAGGATCCGAAGATGTTATTCAAGGAGTATAATCCAGTGAAATAAATTTGGAAAGAGAAAAGAAATGAGACACGAAGAATTCAGAAGATTAGAATTTAAGAGAACACAAAGAGTGGATGCACCTGCACTCACCACTGCAAACGATTTTGAGCCATGTCATTCAGGGTCTCTTACCATCAGTTGCTATCATCTCGCGGTCCCCAACCAGGTAGTCTACATCTACCAACATGGCTCAGTCCACTTGCCAGTGACTTCATGGATTTGTGACATGTTTTGGTCTGGCCGCCCCTAGCTTTCTTCCAACCTACTCCTATACCACTGAACATAGCACGTCGAGGCAGTCGGTCGTTGGACATACGTAACACGTGTCCCAGCCACCTCAACTGATGAAGTTTCACTACTTCATCAATTGATTTGCTATCCTTACCTAGTACCCGTTACCTAACAACTGTGTTACTTACTCGATGGTCCAAGGATATACGAGCAATGTTTCGAAGACACCTATGATCGAATACTAGTAACCTACGAATATCCTCTACTCTTACCGGCCATGCTTCACTGCCATAAAGTAGGACGGGACGAACTGCTGCGCAGTAAACCCGTCCTTTGGTTGATAGACGGATATCTCGCCTACGCCATAAATGACGCAAGTTGGCAAAAGCTAGTCGAGCCTTCTGTATCCGTGCTGAGATTTCGTCACACACTAAACCACAAGGGCTGATGAGACTTCCAAGATAAGTGAAGCGGTCGACACACTCAACTACTTCACTCCCTATCACTAGTTCGGGTGTCGATGTAACCCAATCCTGAAGCAACATTTTGCATTTCGAGGGAGAGAATCGCATCCCGAACATGCTTGCATTGTTGCTTAGAGTGGTCAGAAGACTCTGAATTTTGTCAGCGTCTTCACCAAATAAAACTATGTCATCAGCATATTCTAAGTCAACAAGTGAACCTCCCGGTAGAAGTTCAACCCCTGGAAATTTAGATGAGGAGAGTGTTATCTCTAAAAGTACGTCAATGACAAAGTTGAACCAGAATGGGGAGAGTGGACAGCCCTGACGAACACCACTTGAGGTAATCAATTCTGATGACAGTTCGCCATAAGCTCTCACTCTACCAGTTGTGTTCGAGTAGAGAGCCTTTATAAGGTTAATGTACTTCTTTGGTACTCCTTTCAGTGAGAAACACTGCCATAGAACCTCACGATCAATAGAGTCAAATGCCATCTTAAGGTCAAGAAATACTACGATTGTGGGCCGTCTGAATATCTGTCTATGTTCTAGGACCTGACGTAGAGTGAATAAAGGCAAGTTGTCTAAGAGTGTGACTCAAATAGGCATTTCAATAATACAATAACGATAATGTCATTGATATATTAACGATGTTTCATAAATCAATAGAGAATGTGAAAAGAGGTTTACATTAACTGGATTTTCACAACTCACCTTTATTCATGTTTCCCCCTCTCTCCTATTGATAAATAGTCATTTTGTGCAAGCACCCTATATTACGATGAATCTTGTAAATCGATTTCTAACCAGTTACTAGAAATTCTATATCTTAATCGATATGATGGAAAGAAAAGTCGTATGATATTTCCTTCTATATAATATACGAGATATTCTTGTATTCCATTGACATGAACTATGCTCAGTAAGTGATTTGCTATAACTGAATATGTGATTTCATTCTAATTATTAATCAAAGTGTGTGTACAATAAATATATAAATGAGTGTATTTTCTACCACAGTCATCGTCATCGTGTTTTGGGGGTTAATAAATTATCACTTATACCAGCTTTTGTGTACTTACTTTCGTATCGTGGGTATTGTAGAGACCCCTCGTTCCGAGTGTAAGTTTTTGTGCCCGTGAATCTAACTCCCATTTTAGATTGTACGGATAATTGTATGGCTGTTTGTTATCGCTGATTCTCTTATATCATCGTCGACTTAAATCGTGTTATCCAATAACGGAATTAAATAAGTCAAATAACGAGAATTGACTTGTGAATACATATATTTCGTACATGAAGTGAATGAAACAGCAAAGCAAAATGACACGTATGGAGGATGGCTGGGAAGCCAACTCCCCATTTTAGTCAAGCGTTACTCAATATTTATAGTCAGACAAAATAAAGCTACAGACATGTGATTAATGCGATAAGAAGGGCACACACATATACGCTCATATAAAAACAGTCTAGTTGATAAGCGAATAAATGACAAGGTCAAAGTATGCCTCGAGTAGAATGAATAAAATGGGATGTCCGAAAGCTAGAATAAGGTATATGGGCTTGGCATAATAACTGACACAACAAAGTGATAAGCGTTCTTTTTTTCCGGCACAACAATTGTGACGACTGAACACAACATTAACACTAACTTTGAATTGGAAGGTTTAGTCTTGGAGTATTCATTGTTCTTCTGAACGACAACAACATGATGATCATTATTAGTACAAACTTCAAATACAAAACTTCATGATCAAAATCATCCAGTTTAGAGAACAAAACTCATCATTCATCTGAACTTAACCATTTCAGAATCTCATCATTAAATTTACATAATAGACTTACTTGATCTATTAATCCTATAAAAGGGATCATAATGATTGATCTGATTATATCCATTGAGTGCTTGTAGATGAGTAGTTATCCAAGCATCATCATCATCATCATCATCATCATTATTATTACGTAACCATATAGAAATATGTGAATGATTATTCACTATGAATGAATTAATTCCAATTGGATTACATAAGATGAGAATAATCAAATGAATGAAGATGAATAGATCCATTCAATAGAATGACATATACATATATGTATATGTATATAGATTATGAAAATGTGACAATGTACTTGAGACTTGACAATATAAACAAACAAACAAATAATCAATAAAATTGAATCTATTCCACTTAGATACAAATAAATGTTCACCTATAGTTTCTTATACTTTGAAATAATCCTCCTTTACTCTTTATTACCTATTTTATGTTTCGTTTTTGTTTTGTTTTTGTTTTTTTTTCAGTCAAATCGGTCTGGCTTATAATGAGAACACACTTCATAAATCAATAATCTTTGTTATTGTTCAATTTAGCCTGTAAACATGAATTGAATCAATATCTAATATTGTAGGGAGAAAAGGCTTATAATCAAAACATCTTTCATGTGCTATGACAACTAATTCAAGTTCTCATAAAGATAAGAAGAAAAGAAAATGACAATTACGTGGATCCATTCTATAAATGATTGTTATGATTTAATAGATTTGAAGTTGATCAATTCATTTAGGGTTATAATGATCTGATAATAGATTATATCACTTTACAATGTAGATTTATACAAATGAAGTAAGTCTATTGAATCATAAATGAAGTAAGTCTATCCTATTACATAACACAATATCTTGATTCATATAAATCATTTCAATAATATCCGGGTTAATTCAGAAAAAGGATAATGAACTCGATCTGTACTATAACTTTCTTATTACATGGATCAGATTTGTCAGGTTCATAAGATTATTATTGATTATTTGTATGACGTAACTTTATGTTTTGTGTACCTAATGTACCTCTTAATGTATCAGACACAGAATGACCTTCAGCCACATTGGACTCAATTCATTTATCCAATCAGATTATTGCCTACTTGTTACAGACCAGATTATAAAAGTAACCAATCACAATTTAATATGGTTTCATTTTCTGACCACGTGACAGTGATGTATTCTTTTATATCAAATTGTTCAATTCATAAATTGACGACTATGGAAAACCTGGATGGTCATTTCGTCTTAGTATAAGACTCTTTATGGTGGTCTAACTTTAATCGATTCATGAATAGAACTATTAAACTACTACAGTATCCAAATCAATCCCATTTCGATAATAATCATCATACGCTGCTCACTAGTAACTAGTTTCAAGAGGTATTTTCTAGGGTTCTATTGACAAGCTGTGACCAGTGGAGTTCAACTGCATCTGTTGTGAGATGTGTAACTCAATTTCGTGGATTAGTTGAAGTTAGATATTGATGTCGTCGGTTACCAGCTCAGTGGTCTAGAGGTTAAGCGTTCACGTGCGAGGCCAAAGGTTTGGGATCCAAATCACACCATTGGGATCGTTGATGCACACTTCTGAGGAGTCCCATACTTGGACTAAAAGGCTGTTCAGTATTTCCAGGTTTTCCATAGTGGTCTAGTTTTAATCGACTCGTGAATTCAACTGTTAAATTAATATAATCTCCACAAACTTCCTTTCTGAGAATAACTATTCTGAATCTAAAACGAAATTTGGGTGAAAAACGCACACTTTTAAAGTGAAAAGAGAAAGAAATGTATTTTTCTAAAGGTTTTTAATAAGTGTTTGATATACTTATTTACTTACGCCTGTTACCCCTTGTCGAGGAGTATAGTCCATCCACCAACATTCTCCATCCAACTCTGTCCTGGACAATTCTTTCCAGTTGCCATTCATCCATTTCATGTCTGCTTCCAATTCCCTATGTAGTGTGTTCTCTAATATTCCTTTTTCAGGATTCCAAGTTAGTACTTGCTTCGTGATGCAGTTTGACGATTTCTGTAATTTATGTCTTATCCAATTCCATCGTCTTTTCCTAATTTCCTTTTCAACTGGAAGTTGTTTTGTCCTCTCCTGCAAGTTACAGACATTTGATGGGTGGGATAAGAAGTGCACATACATACGTTCATATGAAAACAGTCAAGGTTGATAAGCGAATAAGTGACAGGGTAAAAATGTTACTCAAGAAGAATGAATAAATTGGCTTGTTTGGAAGACAAAATAAGCTATGTGGACTTAACATAGTGACCGACACCACAAATCGTATTGAGGACAATCAGTCTCAAGCACGAACACTTAACCTCTAGACCAGTGAGCTGGGACCCAGTGGTATAGAAGTCCAGGTTAGATACGTCCATCTCTGTTTACAATGATTTTGACTTAAGGCAATATCGAGGCAATCCACACAGAGTGCATATATGTCAATTAGAAACCGATCAACTGAGGTGCTAAATATCAATGTGAAAATTCAAACAATGAATACAAAAAGGAATTAAAATTCACCCCATTTTAAAAGCTAGTGACTATCAGAACTCAGTAGCTAAGCACATAGCGCGCTGACGTTTGAAGCAAATGGTACTGGGTTCAAGTCCCAGAGTCAACATCAACTCTGGAATGTGGGTGAATACGTCTGATGAGTTCCAAAGCAGGACGAAACGCGTGTCCTGGATACCACTTCTAGCCACCATCCATCTCAGGACAGAGTAGGTTGGAGAATACTGGTCGGCCGCCCATGCTACACCAGGAGTAACAGGCGTAAGTAAGTAAGTAATTAAAAATCAACTAGACAACATATATTGTATGCTACTTATGTTCATAGATATAAGTAGTATTCAGCACCAGACAGAAGATTGTTATCAAAAGAGCTGGAAGGAAATTTGTGAGCAATCGAAATAACAACAGAATTAGATGGGTCTTGATATTTTGTATGTTATATCCGGTGAGACTATAATTTATGAACTACCATTGAGGGATGCTAAAGTGACCTCGAGAACGTCCACCAGATAACTAGGATCAAATGAGGATTATAAACCAGTGTGTGAATAATTCGAATTATTATTTACAGTTGATGATTAAGGTTAGGAATTAGATTTAGGGTTTTCATTACGAACTAATATCAGCTATAATGCCAAAACTGGCGAGACTATAATTTATGGACGAACCAGTCAGATTCAGGATGACAGGTCTCAGATTTTGGCACGAAATTCACTCATCCATTTGGCTAAATTGAGTCTTGGTATTATAGCTAATGTCATTTCGTGATGAAAACCTTAAATCTAATTCCTAACTGTAACCATCAACTGTAATTCATAATTCTAATTCCTCATAGAGGTTTATAATCTTCATTTAGTCCTAATTGTTAGGTGAACACTCTCAAGGTCACTTGAGCGTCTCTCAAAGGTCATCCATAAATTGTAGTCTTACCTCAAAACACTATTTAACCAAATGCATGAATGAATTTCGCGCCAAAACCCCAGACGTGTTATCTTATACCTGATTTTTTCGATTGAAATCATGAGTCAATTGAAACTAGACCACCTGGAAGCATTGGACGGCCGTTTCGTCCTAATATGGGAATCTTCGGCAGTGGGCACCCACGATCCCGCACCCCACAAGATTCGAACTCAGGACCTATCAGTCTTGCGCCAGACGCTTAACCAACTAGACCACTGAGCCAGCATTCAATGGTGTTAATGTCTAACTTCAACCAATCCTCGAAGTTGCACGACCATCTTTCATTGTACTGAGGTAGACACCTGTTTCTACTCGACACAGATTAGCTCCACTGGTCACGGCTTCTCACCAGAACTCCTGATTGGTTCATCCATAAATTATAGTCTCATCTTATTTTCTATTTCGCGGTAAGATGAGGTCTGTTTGGCTAGTGTATATAAACCAAGTATGTTTCAAATAAATAATTCTCATAGTGGAAGCTGAGATTAATGTTCTGGATTCAATTGACAGGGCTAGAAGGACAAAGAACCAATAAAGACTCCTCATATCGGTCGATACGTCATTGTTGTGTCACAATGCCAAGATTGTCTATGTCATATTCCGATTAGTGAATAAGTCACATGATAATTAGCCGGTCACAACAGTGTTCAAGTACAGTCTGCTTCATGTTTACATTGGTTAAATGTACTATGTGTATACATTGTGGGTATGTAGAATGATAGATGAATAGGGTGAGAGTTAGTTAAAGTGTTTTTTATTTATGTAGATATGATATTTGCTTACATTTTATCCAAATTAGTTTAAACACACATTTCTGGTTTCAGATAAACAAAGAAGACTGAAAAATAATGTCAGAACAATAACTTTTCCTCTTCTTCTTCTTCTTCTTCTTCTTCTTCTTCTCCCTGTACAGTATACAATACTAATGTACTTTAAATAATATTATGAATAACAATGGTCTATTTGGGAATTATATGTTAATCATAGAGATTTCTGTTAGATATGAGTATTTTGTATAATTGAAAAGTTACAATAAAACGATAATGGAAGATGGCCCCCAAATGTCCTGTTACGGATGAGGATGGGGAGAGTCAGCTTTCCATCTCCAAATGATCTCATATGGCAACGTCCATATAACCACTAACAGGAAAGTCCTACTCACTGCCTTCTCGCACAACGGGTGTTGTTTACGAAATTGAGAGGACGAAAAGCGAATGTCCGGTGCTTAAAATGGGTCGTTGGACATGGAGAGTCCACCTAGAGGAGTTGGAAGACCCTAATTCAAAACCAATGGTTCCAAGATCCTGAGGGAATAGTAGGTGTATGAACATATCGCTGGTCACCGTCTACCATGGGACTGCATCTCCCAACGTTGCTCCACTGCTTTGCGGATTGGACCTTTAGTTCAAAGGCTCCGGGTGTTCCTTCTATTTCCCTAAGAAAACCACCTGGTTCATTTTGGGCACCCGGTCAGTATCCCAGCCCTCACAATAGTCGAACGTTTTGTGTGGCGCATTTGTAATTGGTGCTTCCTTGTATTAATGTTTATGTGTTTAAATAAATAAAATAAATAATAGATGATCGCGAGATTTTTGTGGATTGGTCAAAGTTAGACCTTAACACCATTGGATGCCGACTCAGTGGTCTAGAGGTTTAGCGTTCGCGCGCGAGACTAAACGTTCTGAGTTCGATTGCGACATACGGAGTCGTGGATGCTCACTACTGATGAATCTCATTATAAGATAAAACAGTCGTCTAG